AAAAAAAAAAAAAAAAAAAAAAAAAAAGGCAGCATAGGGACTTAGTTTTTTTCCCTCATTTCCTCTCTAAGTTTTTTTGTTTTTGTTTTTTCTCTCTCTCTTTTTCTCTTTCCTTTCCCAACTAACTTCATCTCACTTGCTTGGTGGGTCATGAGGGTTAGTTAGTGTGAGGGGCCCAGACTGCCTTCTTTTATTCCAATCCCATACTCCTATATCTCCTTGCCACAAGGTGTACTTGCCCACTGTGGGCATGGTCTTAGAGAGGAGAAGGAATTTCAGATATGAGCTCCTGAGCTCCAGCAATAAGACTTTCCCTACTTTTCCCCAGCCTACCTATCTAACAGTCTCTCCCTTTTCTCCAGGTTATAAACCCCTCCCTGCAACCCTTTCTATCTACTCTCCATTGTTCAAACCTGCCATTCATTAAGGAATCCATCCATTCATAAAATACTCATTAAACGTGCAGTATGGCCAAGGCACTGTATTCTGTGTCAGAATTACATCGATGAATAGAGATGGCCTAATGTAATTGTTAAAATCAAAGTTGTTAGCACAGCGCTGACCAGAGTTCAAATCCCAGTCTTGTAATTGTCCCCTGTATGACCATGCATGGAGTCACTATACATCTTCCAGCCCCTGTTCCTCTTTTTTGCAGAATGGTGCATATCAAGTGAGAGCTTAATCCATAGAGCATTTGACAACAATGCCCTCCTATGGTACATATGCAGGAAAAAGAGCTACAGAAGCAGAACCTAGGACAAAGATCCAACCAGGGTGCAGGGGGCTCATGTTGTACTCTAGGTACTGGGAAGGCTGAGCTTTGGAGGATCACAATTTGAGGCCAGACCAGGCAAACTGTTGGGGAGACTGCATCTCCAAATAACCAGTGCAAAAGGGACTGGAGGTGTGACTCAAATGGTAGAGGGCTCAAGTGGTAGGGGGCCTGCTTTGCAGGCTTGAAGCCCTGAGTTCAAAACCCCAGTCCCATAAAAAAAAAAAAAGATTTGTTAAAAAGTGATGAAGGTGAAAGAGTTGAGAAGTGGAACTTAGGCAGGAAGGAGCCCAGGCAAATGAGTGGAACAAAGCCTAGTCTCATGGAGGGCAGCTAGAAGTCCCCTTCCATAGAGGGGACTGAGTATTGATGCTTCTGTTTGTGGGTGGTCAATTAAGGCCTGGGGGTGGGATGGGGTGTGAGAAATTCGGGGGAGGGTGTGGGGATGTGGGAGAGACAAATTTCCAGATGCTTGCCAGCATTGAGCTGGAGGAGAACAGGCGAGATGAGGGACATGTACTATGTCTAGCACAATGGGTGTCAGTCGGTGCAGAAGGGTAAAGGCTACCGAGAAGAAATGGCTGAACACAATCTCTGCGGTGAAGATAAAACAACCGGGAATTAATCATTGCTGGGGCAGTGGTGGGGGTGGACAGTGGGGCGTGGAGAGACAATCTTGAAAAGAAACAACGTGCTAGGGAGAGGTAGGCCATTCCAGGACGAGCACACGCCAAGGCAGAGCCCTGAGGTCCCTGCTGCACACAGGCACTTGGGCCTTGGCCTGTTCCCTACCGTAGTGGGCACTGGGCTGCAAGGGTGCAGCTATCCAGCAGCTTCTGCGCTTATGCGGTGCATGAGTCGCGCTTTCCCGCCTTTTCACTCCTTCCATACCCGCCCTCCCTGCAGGTTGGAAGCATCCCAGGTGTTCTAAACCCACCCCCACCCCTCTAAACCCACCCCCCACCCCCCCAACCCCTCCTCACCCCCTCCTGTGACTTTACTCCAAACTCACCGCATTCACTGCCAAGGCCATTTCTATGGTGCTCACTCATGTAACTAGTCATATGCATCCTTACTACGTAAATTTTGCATCTCCTAGCTTCTATTTCAACTTCCTGCCAGTAGAAACTATAAAATTTTATTCTTTATATTCATACTTCCATGCTCCCGGCATTGGTGGACATATTAAGGATGTAAGAGAATGAATGGAGGAATAGCTGAATCTGATCTACTTTGGGGTCTATTAAATTCTATTAGATTTATCCCTACAATTCTTATGTGTTCCAAGATTATTCCTAAACCCTAAATTTTGTTTCACTCCAGTCACCTGTAGGTTTTAATGCGAATTACCATTAATAAAGTGGGTATCCTAGGGGTGAAGTCTAAGGTAATGTAATTTCTCAATTTCCTTTAGTCCTTCTTTCAACTCTGATCAGCCATTTGACTGACACTAGACTATGGAGATGTCTCTGGATCGCTGCCCTTTGAACTTCGTTGCTCCCTTAAAGAATTTTGAGGACTGCAGGAATGGCTCAAGTTGTACAGTGCTGGGCTGGTGGAGTGGCTCAAGTGGTAGAGCACCTGCCTAGCAAGCCTGAGGGCCTTAGTTCAAACCCCAGTACTGCCAAAACAAACAAACAAAAAAACTGTGCACCCATTAAAAAGAATGAAGCAGTACACAAAGACAACTAATCAAAAAAAAAAAAAAAAAAGGTTGTAGAGTGCCTGCCTAGCAAGTGTGAGACCCTGCGAGTTCAAACCCCAGTGATGCCACCAGAAAAAAAAATGTTGAGGTGCCTGTAATCCCAGTACTTGGAAATCTGAGGTTAAGATCTCAAGTTCAAGGTCAGCTGGGCTACATAGTGAGACCCTAGGTAAGAGCTCTATCACTTGAGCCACTCTTCCAGCCCTGTTTTGTGCTGGGTATTTTTGAGATAAGATCTCTTGAATTATTTGCCCAGGCTAACTTAGAGCTGCAATCCTCCTGATCTTGACCTCCTGAGTATCTAGGATTACAGGTGTGAGCCACCAGCACCCAGCCTAACATGTTTTCTTGGTCTTCAATATAGAGGTCCCAAAAAGGAAGGAATGTGTAACTTGTGACTCTCACAGTTACATTTTCAAACCTCTGGCATATGCACTATGAATGAACAAGAACAGAAACTCAAATTATTTCCAGTTCTCTGTAAGTTTAGCATTGTGAGGATGGCATCTGAATATTTAAAAATGTAATTGCTGATAAAGAAGCAGCCTAGATTCAGAATTAAGATGGTTTTTATTTTTCATTTATGGTAAGCATTATCAGCAACCTGTGGTTTCCAGCTGAAGGTCACCAGGTGGCAGCAGGGAGCAACAATGCTGTGAGCCCTGGTCCCAGAGGTCCCAGGTACAGGAAAGAGTGGGAGGAGGAAGTGAGAAGCAGAGATGGGGAGAGGGCCGGGCGAGTGAGGTAGGAGTGTGTGCTTTCGCTATCAGAGAAAAGAAGAACAGAAATGTGGGACTAAATATGGATTGCAAGAGGGGACAGAAAATGTTAAGGACACCGTCTGAGTTCAGAATACAATTGAGGGAATGAGGAAGGGAATTAGGAAAAACTGGGAAGATTTTAAGGGGAAACTGAAAGGCAGACACGAGCTTGAATGCACGTTGCCTGGAACCTAAATCACCTGGGGATCCTCCTTATCTGTACTCTTCGTGGGGTGGGTCAAGGTCTGGCTCCTCCTGAGGGCCATGGTCCACCTCAGGGGCAGGAGGCCAGGGATTTTCTGGGGGCTGAGGTCCTGCTGGCCAGGGGTCATCTGGCCGGGGAGGTTGAGGGGGATCAGTGTTAGGGGGCTCAGGGGGCCAGGCGTCAGTTCCAGGCAGATCTCTCCAGGGACGGTTGGGACCTGGAGGTGGAGGGTCCTCAAAGAGAGGGGGTGCCCCTGGCCAGGGATCACCAGGAATTGGAGGGCCCTGAGGCAATGTTGGGGAGCTCTCCTCCTCTAGAACCTCTCTGGATGCGGGAGAGGGGTGGTCCCGCCTGCCTGAGATGCCTGTAGAGGAGGAAGGAGAAACGTGAGAGATGCTAAGGATGAGACTTACCCACCCCAGCTTCAGACCCAGGAGGCAGAGCCTCTCTGGAACAGTCTGAGCTGACCCTACCAAGAAGCTCCAGGCAGCACCCAAAGTGCTGTCCATACATTTACCAAATACAGAAGTAATCTTAAAATGAATGAAATGGGGGATGGGGAGGGAGCCCAAACAATGTATACATGTGAGTAAATGTAAAAACGATAAAACAAAGTTTTAAAAAATAGGTGAATGAACCCCTGGACTGACCTGAACCACTTTAAGAGCCTGAAAACCCTCCAAACAAGCTCTTCTAACACTGCTTGTGACACCTCACTGGCATGACCCTGGAGCTGGTCTGCATCTAGAGTGGTCTATACCTTGGCCCCATGTGGCATGCAGACTCTTCCTCTACAATGACCCCACCATCCTTAACACAGACTCCAGCTCCAGTGAATACTGGCCCCAACTTGAACTCTGAAATCATCATACAGCTCCATCTGAACCAGCACATTTATTCTGACCCAAAAATGTTCCTGCCTACATCCCCTGCACTCTTCCTCTTAATTCCCAGAATCCCTTCCACCCCTGTGCCTCAATTTCACCCCTGCCCTTCTTTGTGGTCACCCTCACTAAGGGTGGGTCTTCTTGACTATGTCCATACCCACCCTCCCAGATATACTCCTGACCTCTTCCCAGCTCACCTCTGGCACACAGGCAAAGGACCAGGATCCCCAGCAGCTTCCAGTTAAGCATCATGGCTGTTTACTGGCCCCCAATGGTGGGGTGCTCTGAATCTGAGTTCCTAAGAGCCCCAAGAGGATTTATATGGGAGGAGGAAGAGAGGAGGCCAGTCTGTTGGGAGGGGCCAGCCCAGTGACACAAGGAATCCCATCAGAACCTGACTGGTCAAACCTGTTGGGAAAGCCCTGGCTAACATGTGGCATGACAGCAGCGTCTCTCATTTTCATCCACCACCCCCCTCCATCATCCCAGGACCCAGCCACCAGTTCTCCCTATCAGTGGCCCAGACCCTGGGTCACTCCACCCTTGTTTTCACACCCAGGTCCACCCACACCCTGAAGCAATCAATACCCTTCCAGTCAACTCCATAATCACAGGGGTCATCCACCTTTTATCCCTGGTAGCTATCAGAAGCTAAGGAATGGGAACAAACCCCGCGTGGGGAAGCATCATTAATTATAGGGCCAGAGACAGGACGCCTGGGCTGGTAGGGGGCCGCCTTTGAAACCTGGGATGCAGGTGAGGCAATGTCAACCTCAGCCCCTGACCCTTGTCTTAGTGGGGGCTTCCTTCTTTCCCTGGCACTTCCACTCCCTCAGGACCAGGCATGCTGCTCTCTGGCATGTGCACTCTTCAGGAATGTAGGGAACCTCCCAAGCAGTGACACCCAAGGAATTCCACCTAGGAGCTACCTGGGGTGACTGTGGAAGGGGAAGGAGACATGAGGATATCCTGGTTTCCTGACCTTACACAGAGATGGTTCCACCAGTCCAGAAACTGCCCTCCCATAACTTTGGCTTCTTCTTCTACCCTCAAGACACCCCCCTATTCCTGACCCCTACCACTGGGCCTGGGCTCTAGCTCTCCATGCTTGAACTCATCTTTTAGTTCTCAGCTAATTTACCTCTCAGAGATCCTCCTAGAACTTTCAGAAGTGTCCAAACTAGAACTAAATTCTTTCCCAATTATTCCCCAACCTGGGAATTGTTCCTCCCCTGCAGTGAATGACACTACTGTCCCTTCTAGGCTGGTGTGGAAAACTTCATTCCTCCCCTCCCTCGCCCCACCTTCCTGCAAGTTCTGATCATACTACATCCCAACTAGGCCCCTCTTCTGGTCATGGACCACCATCTTGCCCCAGCGTACTCTTCAGTCCTCTCTTCCTCCCTCCCCACACCCAGTCAAATCTTTTTTAAAATGCAAATAACTTTGTTCCTACAAGTACTCCACAGACTTTCTATTGACTTGGAATAAATTACCTCTCCTCCAGGATTCTCTATCCTAACCCACACTAAACTCTCCTGGCCTCAGCGCAAGGTCTCCTCACCCAATGCTGCCCTGCCCCAGAGCCCGTTTCTATAATTTGACAGTATCTTACTTTTCTTCCTAGCATTTGTTTGAAGCCTAGTTTGTTCTGTGTCTCCCCTTGTCTCAGTGTCTTCCCTGGTTCAGGGGCATTGCTATCAAGCCCACCACTGTGGATCCGGGCTAGGACAGTGTCTGGCTCTGAGATTCTTCTTGAATGAGTGGATTGCAAGAGGGGACAGAAAATATGAAGGACACCATCTGAGTTCAGAACATAACTTCCTGCTCCTGGCATTAATCATCTTCCAGAGATGTTTTAAGTATTTTAAAAACAAAAGGTAGGGCTGGTAGAGTGGCTCAAGTGGTAAGAACTTTTGCCTAGCAAGTAATTAGGCCTTGAGTTCAAACCCCAGTACTGCCAAAAATAAGTAAATAAAAATAAAAATTTTAAAATAAAACTGGGAACCTGAAAGCCTTTCAAACCACTTCCAAAGCAGCCAAGGAAAGGGATTTGGAAAGAAGTACCACCAGAGAAAGAACCACTTCACACAGTCCCAGGAAGAGAGATGGCTGCAGGAGGAATCCACATATTCCTGGAGACAACATTTCAAACAGTGGCTCTACTGCAGTCATCTTTATTTTGTGGGGGAGAATTCAGACTTGGTGGAAGCTGGTGTCCCTAAGGCTGAATGAAGGAAGAGGGCTGGGCTGGCCTCTTATGTATTTCTCCGTGATCCTCTGATCCTCTTGGGAACCAGCCCTTGGCTGCCTTTCCCTCAAGCTCCAAATGCTTAGCTGTTCAACTGCGGGCTGGAGCAGGGGAGTTCTGGTTGTCTCCTTGACAAATAGCTTCCTCTTTGGAAATGGCCTCGCTCAGGCCCTGCAGGTTATCAAGCAGGACAGAAAGGGACCCTGTGAAAGAAGATACCAAGGGATAATGTTGACAGAAGGCTCTGAACTGTGCAGGGGGTGGGACCAACACAGGATGGAAGGGGCTGAGGGAAAAGGTTCTTGTGTCCAAGGTGGGCATGGCTGAAAGAGGCTGAGGGCCTCCGAGGCTCATGCATGTAAAGAAATTCTTGACTGCTCCCATTTGTCCCTTCTGCTTAGCCCATTACCTTTTATGGACTCCCTAGTGGACAGGGCTGCTGGTGGAGACATAGGTGCTGAGGATCCTGGAGGCTTGGGGCTAGACTCAACAGATTTCTCTTCATTCAATAAAGAGGGAAGAACTGCCAACAGTTGCTGCTGCTTGTAATGGGAGAGCAGACCCTCCTGCTGCAAGGTGGCCTGGGAAAGAGAAGGTTAACCACCACCTAGCCTCAGTAGAACTGCCCCTGACTCTTTCCACACTTTTACCCACCAACCAGTCTACCACAGGCCCAAGTCTCTGCTGTCCCCCCTACCAGCATAAGATTCTTGTCCCTCTCTAGCTCCTCCACGCGCCGGGTCAGTCGCTGTCCCTCCTCCTTCCGAGCCTCATCCTGCAGACGCCTGAGCTCCTGGTTCCGCTCCTTTTCTCTGGTAGCTTTGCGCTGAATCTGACGCAAGGAGATCACTATAGAGAAGTCAGGGGAGTCAGGGGAGGTGTGCGTCAGCCCAGAGCAGCCAGTAGCACAAAAATGAGACTGGATGTGCATCAAGAACCCTGGGTTCCCAGCTGGGCAGCTGCACTGTTCTGTGGATCTCAGTGTCTCTTCTGCACAGTGGGGATGTGATCTGATGCTACAAGAACCTGTGCATCTGTGAACCCAAAGCACTTTCCCCATCTCTGACCCATCCACAAGTTCCTTAGGGAACCTGAATAGGGGCTGGATATTAGATTTTGTACAATTAGTGCTTGTGATTTTTTTTTCCTAAGATTTTTTTGAGATAGGTCTTGCTATGTAGCTCAGGCTAGCCTTGAACTTACTATGTTGCTCAGGCTGGCCTCAAAGTCACAATCCTTCTACCTCGGCCTCATCATGCTGGGATTACAGGTGTATACCACCATGCCGAACTAATACTCATGTTCTTAAAGTGTGATAATTCTGTGGTTACACAGACTTTCCTGCTTGTGGGAGATGTGGCTAAACAATCATGTTTGTAACTTAAAGATTAAAAAAGTGTGTGTGTGTATAAATTTGTGTGTATGTGTAAATAAGAGAGCAAATGTGGGGAACATTGACTGCTGTCTCTAGTTAGAAAAGATGTAATATTCATTACTGACTTTAACTCATCCAGGTGTTTGAAATTTTTGAAGGGGACGTGCTAGCGATCAGGATATTGGTGGTCTTTGATGAGGGTCGATGACTGGGAGAGGAGTCTGGGGGCTCCAGAACTGGTCACATGCTATTTCTCAATCCGGTGCTGGCTGCATACTGTTCACTAGGTGAGTATTTATTTGTGCCATTGCTTCAATACTTCATTACTTGCATGCATCAATAAAAAGCTGTGCAACAGGGCTGGTGGAGTGGCACAAGTGGCAAAAGTGTCAGTTTAGCATGCATGAGACCCTGAGGCCAAACCCAAGCGTCAACAAAAAAAAAAAAAAAAAAAAAGGAAAAAAGCTGTAAAACAACTTGGGGCAGGCAGGGGTGGGAGGAAATAATAACCTTATGTCTCAATGCTGCCTTCTTCCTGGAAGGCTCATGTCCACTCTGGTCCATCTTACCAGCCTTGGCTTGCTCCCTCCGGGCCTCATTCAGTCTCCTCTCTGTGTCTAACAGCTGTTCCCGCAGCCTAGTCTCCACCTCAGCTACCTTCTCTTGCAGAGCTGGAGTTAAGGTACGATGGAGAGTATCAGGAGGAGCCACACACCCTCTGTGGCAGCACCCACTGCCCGTTCCCCACACCTTGCCCATAGATCTCCTGCTGCTGGGTCAGCTCCTGCCGGAGACTGGCAGCCTCTTTGGTGCTCTCCTCCTGGCCTTGACGAGCTGCTTCCAGTTGTAGTCCCACACTGGCCAGGGACTCCTGGGTGCGCTGTAGCTCCTGTTCCAGCTGCTGGGCCACCTTGTTCAACTGCTGCCGCTCTGCCTCCCCTGGGATGAAAAGGTTCCCTCAGGCCCTAGACCCCAGGTTCTCCTGGAGCACATGCCCTAGACCCCAGGTCTTCCCACCTCCTCTCTGTCCCATCCATGCATCCATCCATTTACCCATCCATGCAGGCATACCTTGTTCCCGGGCTCGGCCCACCTCCTGCTGAATGAGGTGGGCACTCAGCTGTAGTTCTGCATCCAGGCGGTTACGTTCTTCCCGCAGTTGCTGCAACTCAAGGTTCATGTCCATGTCTGCTGGGGGTTGGGGTGGAGGTGAGGGGCAGCTGGGACAGACAAGGGAATCATGTAAAATCACCCAGCTGCCTGACCACTTAAGCCCCCATCCCTCCCTAGTCCTGTTTTGGGTACTAGCAGTCAACACCTGAGAGCCCCTCCAATACACACACCACCCTCTCCACTTCAAAGTGCCCAAAGTTCACCTCTCCAGGCGCAGCTGAGCAAGGGCCAGTTTTCGAGCCATCAGGCCTGGGAAGGGAAAGGCAGAGAACAACAGACAGCTGAGTTTGCATGGGATGAAAGGGAAGACAGGGAAGTAAAGGGAAACATAATGCAAGAACTGGTGAGCAGGAGGGAGGATGACTATGGGATCAGAGAGCCAGGCTAAGGAGAAGAGGGCCAGGGCTGCTGGGGCAAGCAGGATGCACCTACAGATGCTCTACCCACCCTGAATGGTGTGGACTTTGCGGACAGCATAGCTGAGTCGATTGCTGAGGCTGGGAAGTCGAGCAACAGCCTGTTCCATCTTGGTCATGGTGCTCTGGAGGTAGATCTGAGAGCTGAAGAAGACACAGGTCACTGACCCACCACCATCACCTCATTCCTGAAAAGCCTGCAGGGCCTTGTACACACAACAATGTCTACCCTGTACTGTTAACCAACTGAGAAAAACAGGGAGGGGGACGAGAGTGAGGAAAAAGAGTTGAAGCCACAGAGAGGGGCAGGACTTTTTAGTGCAAGGCCTGGTGATACAGGTCTTTAGTGACTGTCAGATAAAAATGACCCAGTTGCAGGGTGCCACTGGCTCACACCTGTAATCCTACCTACTCAGGAGACAGAGATCAGGAGGATCATAGTTCGAAGCCAGCCCAGGCAAATAGTTCGTGAGACCCTATCTCAAAAAATCCATCACAAAAAAGGGCTGGTGGAATGGCTTGAGTATAGGCCCTGAGTTCAAACCCCAGTATCACACACACACAAAAAAAAGATCCAGTTGCTAGCCAGGTGCCAGTGTCTCGTGTCTATAATTCTAGTTACTTGGGAGGCTGAGATTGGGAAGATAGCAGTTCAAGGCCAGCTTAGGCAAAAACTTCAGGAGATCCCCCCATCTCAACCAATAGCTGGACATGGTGGTGCATGACTGTCATCTCAAGCAATGTGAGAGGTTGAGATAGGGAGGATGGCATTTCCAGGCCATCTCAATTTGGGATAAAAGCTGGGCATGGGCCAGGCACTGGTGGCTCACTCCTATAATCCTGGCTACTCAGGAGGCAGAGATCAAGAGAACTGAGGCTAAAAGCCAGCTTGGGCAAATAATTTGATAAACTCTATCTTGAGAAAACCCTTCACAAAAAAAAGGGCTGGTGGAGTGGCTCAAGGTGTAGGCCCTGAGTTCAAACCCCAGTACTGCAAAAAAAAAAAAAAAAAGAGCTGGGCATGGTGGTATGTGCTTGTCATTCCAGCAACTGCAGGAAACTTAAAATGCTTAAAATAGGAGGATTATGGTCCAGGCCTGCCTTGACAAAAAGTAAAACCCTACCTCAAAAATAGCCAGAACAAAATGGGCTGGAGGTATGACTCAAGCATTCAAGTGCCTATCTCGCAAGCATGAAGCCCTGAATTCAAATCCCAGTACCACCAAAAAAAACCCAGAAAAGTTGCTCAAAAAAAAGGCAGTTATTCCTGATCCAATACCTGCAGTGAGCTTCTCATTACGATCATGGCAATCAGTGTCTTTAGTAACAGTCTGCAAGGGGTCATACTCCACGGAAGTGTTCAGCAACAACAGTTCTTTTGGGGCTAAGACAACGGGCACCTTTGGGGTACATGAACTTAGGTATGTTTTTCTAAGGAAAAAAAAATCCCATAGCTGCCATCAGTTTTCTAAGCGGTCCTTGCCCTAAGAAGGCATTAAGTAACTGTACAGATTTCCAAACAACTTGTGAATCTTATATTTCACAACCTGATGGGGGTTTTTTTGTTTGTTTGTTTTCTCTTTTGGTTTTTTAAGACAAGATCTTACTATATAACCCGTGCTGGCTTCGAACTTCCAGTATTCCTATCTCTACCTCTAAATGCTGGGATTATAGGCATGGACCATCATGCCTGGATGCAACCTATTTTTTGATCACTATAACGCACAAGAGATCAAAGTTGCCCTCTGGAGTGAGCCTAGGAGGGTAGATTCCCTGATACCAAAGCAGGGCAGCCTCATGCATCTTATCAGCTAGCTATGCCAGAACAAACCCACATGGCTCAGGAAAACTGAGAAGTGAAACAGACCCACAAGGAAGGGCCAGGGAGTATTTAGTCCCTCCTAAGCACAGTCCCAGTCTCCTAGAAAAACAAGTGATGACAAAGCTGGCAGCAAGCAAAGATCATTTTCACCGACACCTACAGTGGCTCTTATTGAAACCATTTCTGATAAGGTCTCCAGGTCATGTAGAGACTTGCTAACAAACCTGGCAACAACCTGGAGTTTGGATTACTTTAAACCTGGAGGACCTTTTGGTAAGACATATAAGTAAGAACAATTTCTGACATGAAATAGAATGATGAAACCTCTTTCAATTGCTCTAAGTGGAGTGGGGAAGGGGTTACAGGGAGGAGACAGTGGGGGCAATCTAACCAATGTATAGTGTAAGACTATTGGGAATTGGCATAATGAATCCCCCCAGTACAATAAATACATGCTAATAAAAATGAAAAAAAAAAAAGAAAATTACTTACAATGTGAGCTAAAAAAATAACAAATTTTGTGATCTCCTGTACCAAAGCAAAATCCTGTGGATGGTATCTGTTCTCCTGGATGTAGGAGGCACGTGAAATGGATTGAAAGTGAACAGTGGTTCCTCTTAACTAGTCTAATTCCATGCAAGTTTAAACTATTGTGTCATTTTTTTCTGGTGCTGGGGATGGAACTCAGGGCCTCTTGCATGCTAGGCAAGCACTTTACTACTGAGGAACACCTCCAGCACTGGCATTCATTTTAAAAAGACATCTAGTAAGCAAGTAGAGGAGATAGCTTCCAATAATTTTTTTTTTTCCAAAAGGGCATGCCTGTAAAATCATAAAGAGGAAAAGAAATTATGTATCCACACCCCCATCTCTAAACATTTTTTTTAAATTGTTGTGCTGGGCAGGGGTACATTGTGGCATTTACAAAAGTTCTTACAAATCAAATATATCATACTTGAATTTACCCCCTCCACTGCTCTCCTTTCTCCCCCTTTCTCCCCATTCCTGGAAGTTTCAACAGGTATCATTTTTGCATTTACATACATGTGTATACATTTTTTGCACCATATTCACCCTCCTACCATCTTCCTCTCCCCTGCCATGGGCCAGGACCTGTTCTGCCCTTCTGTTCCTGAACAGTTCTGAAGGTGCAGATCTTCCCAGTGGCTCTACTTAGCTCAAGCCACTACCAAACTGAACTGAAAGAGGCAGCAGTGCCTCACTCCAGCCCAGCATGGTAGGAACTGACAGCAAGTGGTGCTGGTATGATAGAGAGGGGCCACCCCAGGAGAAACCAAATATAGAAGCTGCCAGGTTTCTAGCCTCTCTTGCTTGAGGCTTTTTAATTCCAAAATGCCCTGGATTGATGGGGAAGCAGCAGTGCTCCTCCATCCACCCCTCCATTCCAGATACCTGCTGATAGCACTGGCCACAAGCTTCAGCTGTTCCTCAGCCGAGGCTGTTTGTTGTTGCCGCCGCCGCCGAGCTTCCTGAGCACGGCTCAGCTCCATCTGTAGGGCCTGGGGAGGATGTGGTAAAGGAAAGAGTCCCTCGCTAATGCCCACAGATCCTGGTCAGGGGCTTTCTAATCCTCCCTTAGCCTCCATCAGTCTCAGACTCAGACCTTGGCACTTAGGCGCTCCACCTCCACCTCCGCGGCTTTGTCCTGCAGGGAGCGCTGTAGGATGGCCTGCTCCTGGCTCTGGGTGGTCACTTGTTCCTGGAGCTCAGCCACCTGGGAGAAGAGAGAAAGCTGGGCAAGGCAGTCTAGAAGCAAAGGTTTTGGGGGGTATTGAGAAGAAGCAGAGTCAAAGGTCTCTGAGGAGACAAGCAGCTGGGGCTCCTGAGAATGCAGTCTGAGTCCAACTGTCCTTCCAGAAGCATGTTCCATGTACCCACACTTTGAGGGGCCACAACCTGACCCATCCTCAAAGAACCACCCCCTCTGACCATGCTACCTACCCTCAGATGTTGTTACCTCCCCAGAGAGGTCATTCCTGACCATCCTACCTAAAGCTGACCCACTTCAGTCTCTCTGTCACATCATCTTTTACACTTCGATTTATAGCACATATAATTGTTTGACATCTGTTTACTGAATCCCCATTCTAGAACCTATGCTCCATGAGAGCAAGTAATTGTCTGTTTCATTCAGGACTGTGTGCCCAATATGTGGCAACCACCTCAACAATATTTGTTGTTTAATTGCCATTCTTGTGCAAGGAGCTGGGGGGAGTGCAGGGTCAAACAGAGTCACTGACCTGTCCCTTCAGCTGCTTCATGTGGTCTCTGTGCTCTATCTCCTGGGCCTTAAGCTGCACTGTGAGGGCAAACACCTTCTCCCGCCAGCGCTGCAACAGGGACTGGTACTTCTTAGTAAACTCTGGCTCCAAGGCATCTAAAGGTTGAACCTGAAGGTAGGAAGAAGAGGGAGAAGTGGCTCCTGAGTGAGTAGAGAAAGAGATTCCATGTTTGTCTTTTCTCTGTCCTTCTGTAGCAGCAGAAGTCACAATAGGAGGAGTTTGAGGTCTGGCAGTATACCCACCCAGGGAGGGAGGCTAGGTGGCAGGTGTAGAGCCTAGCAGGTGAGGGCTGCCTGGGGAGGACATTACCTTTCTGGTCAGCTCCTCCTCCTGTAGGGTGAGCATGTGCATGAGGCTCTGCACCCGTACCTGCAGCAACTCTGCAGTGGCCTGCAGGCTGGCCCGGTCCTCCTGCAAATGCTGCAGGTGGAATGAGAGCAGTGCCAGTCAGAGCCTCCATTCCTGCCCTGGGGTAGCAGCCAGTCTGGGTTCCACAACAGCACTGCCTTATGTAGTTGGGACCATGCTTTCCTCCAAGGGCTGCCACCATCTCCTGACCTGATTCCCCATAGGCCCCTCCACAGCTACACCCCTGTGCTCCCTCCACCTGCACAGTGTTCAGAAGCTCTTGTCGCTCTGGCTCCCACGCCTGGCTGTGGACCTTGGGAGGGACTTGTTCCCCCACATATCTCCTCAGATTCTCTACCAGGGTCACCTGAGTCTCCAAGTCTTCTTGGGTTTCACTAGAGTTGGCATGGAAACAGACAGGGCAGCCATCAGTGGAGCACCCTGGAGACCTCACACCATCCACCATCAGGCCCCTCTCAGCCACCCATGCCCACTTACTTTAGCTGCTTCCGCAGCAACTCAGCCTCCTTCTGGGCCACAGCCAATTCCTTGGCTTCCCCTGCCCTCCTGCTTTCCAGACTATTCAGAGACTTCTCCAAGCCCTCAGCCTTGTTGGTCAAACTGGAAAGAGCTTCCTGGTGAGCCTGTGTCAAGGAGGACAGCTATGGAAAGAAGAACAGGCTGAGCAGGGGCCAGCTGGCCCCACATGAAGGCCTTCCAAACTTCCCCTGTGCTTTGATCTTATCCCTTCACTCCCACTGTCCATGACCTCAGAGAACAACCCAACAAAGATCACCCAACCATGTGGCAAAAAGTGATCGTCCTTGGCATCTTGTTCTCCCCAACCACCTTCAAACCCATCAAAAGTTCTTACCAGGTCTCTTTCCAAACATATTTTACTTCTCTGTCTTTCCAGATTCACTGCAACAACCTTAGGTAAGCTACCTCCTCTCTTGCCTGGACAATGGCAACCATCTCCTAACTACTTTTTATTTTGCCTTGTTTTGGTGGTACTGGGGTTTGAACTCAGGGCCTTAGGCACTGTACCATCCTAACTAGTCTTTAAAACCCTTCAGTGGCTTAACATTCAGAACCAAATTTAGATTTCTTCCTATGCCTGTAAAGTCTGTGACTTGGTCAGGCCTACCTCCCTGAGCTCCTCTCCTGTGGCTCTCTCCCTGCTCACCCTGTGCCAGTCATAGCAAGTCTGCCTAGGGCTGAACAGTAGCTTCCTTACTCTGCAGAGGAACAGCAAAGGACAGTGATGTCCCCTCCTCAGAAAGGTCTCTCTTGGCCCTCTAATCCTTCCCCACCACCCTACCCTGTTCTATCACTGTTCACAGCTTTCTGAGCACTGACACCATCTGATATTATCCTACTACAGTATGTACTCACTGTCTGCTGTGCCCCATAGAATAGGTTGCTCTAAGGAGGGAGGAAATCTGTCTTTTCTTGCTGCCTCAAACAATGCCAACTGTGTCACAGCCACTAACAATCACAGGACAGGTGGGTGAGGGGGCAAAGTGGCTGCCTTGCTTTCTGATGTCTCCCCACTCTAGCCCTATCTCCACACCAAAGGAAAGTTTGTGATATAAGGCACAAAACTGATCTTTTTAGATCAAATGCAAATCTGATCATGTCATTTTTCTGCTTAAAACCTTTCAGTGGTTAGCCAGGTACACTGGCTCATGCCTGTAATCTGAACTGAGTGGCTGAGATTGAGAGGATCAAGGTTCAAGGCTAGCCCAGCCAATTAAATAGTTTGAGAGACCTCATCTCCAAAACAATCAGAACAAAACGGACTAGAGATGTGGCTCAAGTGGTAGAGTGCTTTGCAAGTGTGAAGCTCTGAGTTCAAATCCCAGTCCCATCAAAAAAAAAAAACTTTCAGTGGTTATTCATTTTGGGGGGGGCAGTTTTATAACTTTATTTAGTTAACTTTACTAACTAATCAGCAGTTAGGTATCATCCACATTGCCTTAGATTTTTGAACATGGTAACAGGGTTACCAAAGTATAGACCTTGTTTGATGACAGTGCTATACATGTTCAAAGAAATTTCTCTAGCAATAAATTATAAAAATGATCCCTAAAGGTAGTCTTTATGGTTTTTGTTTGTCTGTTTTCGTCTTTTGGGGTTTTTTCTGAGATGTCTCACTATGCTGTCCAGGCTGGTCTGGAACACCTGAGCTCAGTGACCCTCCCACCTTAGCCTACACACACACACAACATCTATCTCTCTCCTTTGTCTATTTTCTGACTGGATTGCTGATCTTTCCCTTATCAATTTCTAGACACAAATTATGTATTAGGGATATTAACCTTTTCCTGTGACATGAACTATGAATATTCTTCTGTAGTTTATCATTAGTTCTTCAACTCTGTCATTTGAATATCAATATTATAAAGCCAATGTGAATATTCTTTTTTAAGGTCTCTGTAATTTGAGTCACAGGTACAAAGGCCTTCTCTGCTCTAACATTATAAAGGAATTCACTCATGTTTTGTTCTAATATCCGTATGGTTTCATTTCTTGACATCTCGATTGGTTAGGGTGGCCTTTCCTAATCCCCAGACTGGGTTAGTGCTCCCTTGTCCCAATTATAATTAATTAATTACAATCTCATTAAATGTTGAATGTATCCTGCATTAGGCTGTCAGCTCCACCCATGAGGGTAGGGACTCAGGCAATTTGGTTACAGAGTCCCAGCTGTTTCAGGAAATAGCAAAGAGAAGCACTGAACTTCCTGACAATAATCTCCCTTTCCTAATCCTCTTCAGGACCCATGCCTACCTTCGTCCCTGGCCCCCACCACACTCTCAAATGTATAGAGTACGTGGTGTAAAGAAGGAAGGAAAACTACTTCCTATTGGAAGAGGAAAAGAGGGCATCAAGTCGTGAGAGATCACCTGAGTCCTGAGTGCAATCTGAGTAAGACCAAAACACCCAAGTTCTCCCTTTTTCTTGGCCACCTATTTTACTCTCCTGCTCATGGGGGTCTCTTCTAAAATAATACTTGCTCTTTGCCACCAAGAAGTTCCTGTCCTATCACCCAACCCCCTGCCACATTCACCTGCTCTTGGTGCAGCCTCTGAACCTCCTCTAGCTCCCGCTGGTTCCCCTCTTCCAGTTTCTTCCGAACAACCTCAGCCCCAGCCAAGGCAGCACGCAGACCTTCAGCCTCAGCTCGGCCAGCCTTCTCTGCCCGTGCCAGAGCCTCCAGCTCCACAGCTTGGGCCTCCAGCCTCATTTTCTGCTGCAGCGAGGTCTCCCGTAGGGACCGGACCTCCTCCTCCAGCTGCCGAAGCTCTTGCAGCTGCTGAGAGATCAGCTCTGCCTGCTGGCTCAGGGCCCGTGACCCATCCATCTCCAGGGACCTTCAAAAACAGGTTAGCACAGGCAAGAAGTGTCTCTGATCCTGGGAAGATGACCAAGGGCATAAATGGAGACAGGAAGAAGAGGATCCCTCTGCTGCCACATGCAGAGGTGTAGGGGATGAAGCTGAAGCATGGGAATCTCTGCATTCACATAATCATCTTCATCATTCATTGAGTCCCTACTAAGGCCAGGTGTGTTGATACATGCCTGTAATTCTAGCACTAGGGAGGCTGAAGTAGGATTGGGAGCTTGAGGCTAGTCTGGGCTACTAGACTATAATAAAAATTTTAAAAGTCCTTACTAAGCACATAAGGTCCACTGCCTGGGTTCAGAGGACCCAAGGGCTAGTAAGAACATGGAACATAATCTCTCCAGAGAGCTACACATAGGCAGATATGTTAAACATCAAACTGCACATCATAAGACCAGATATTCTGAGTGAAGAAATTAGAAGAACATGAAGAGACTTCTAAATTCTGATCTAAGGGCAAGTAAAAGTGAGGGAAGCATTGGGGGGGAGGGGGGGCGTGGGGCAGGGTTTCCTGAACTTCTATTATCTACATGGCAAGGCCAAGTGTGAGGTACAAGCTTTTATCACATGTATGGTATACTATATGAGCAGTATGAGAGAAAGTGCCCAATCTTTGGAAAATAATCTACTGGCATCATGTACATTTTGTTTTGTTTTCTGCAGTAGTTGAATTCAGGGCCTCATGCTTGCCAGGTAGCTGCACCACCACGTAAGTCATCCAATTAGCCAGCCCTGCATCACTAAGTTTAAACCGGCTTGTTCTATAGTTCCTGAGAGAGCTCCCTCACTAGAAGCCACAGGATTCTTTTTTAACTAAAAGGAATCTGTAGACAAATTAAATGACTTGCTTGCTAAAGGTCCCCTTGCTGGCAACCAAACTAGAAACAGAATCTGTAGTGACACCAATCTAGTACTTTCTTTAATCATGATCTTGGGCTCATGGAGTAGCTCAAGTGGTAGAGGGCCTGCGCAGCAAGCATGAAGCCCTGAGTTCAAACCCCAGTTACCACAAAAATAAATATACAAGCAAACTGAAATATGGTAATGGTAGCAGGAAATCATTCATTCTTTAAAAGGTGAATAAACAAATAAACAAACACAATTCAAAAAAAAAAATCATGCTCCTTCCTTTTTGATACAATCCTATTCTGGATTGACAGAATGACATCTCTGTGCACATGGGAAAAGACAAGAAACAAGAATGTGCACATTCTTGTATGCACATGAAACAAGAATAAGAATTTTCACTTTTTAAGCATGAATCCCTGAATTCAAACCTCAAGACCACATAAAAAAATACATACAAAGTAACAAAATTGTAGGCCCTGGGGGATCTGATCCCTAGGTTGGGGAGGGGGAGGAAGTAATAGAGTAATAATTTTCACACAACACATTTAGAGACAGCATGGCCAACTTGTGACAAGTTCTCCATAAAAGCCTTTTTCAACTACTCCATCAGAACGAACCAGTATACCACAATACTGGGTCTATATGTCTAGTCTTACCTTGCTTTACATGGGGCTTTAAGATTAGCTGCTGGCCAACCTATCTCCACCCTTAGAAATTTAAATTCCTTACTAACTGATAATTTAAGTCATGATCTCTCTTACTCATCTTTGTTATGTCCAGCCCTAACATTATTTATACATTGTAGGTACCAATAATTGCTCATGCAAAAATGAGGGTTGGGGCTGGGGTAGCAATCCCCTAGCATGGGCAAACCCCTGGGTTCAATTTCCAGCAGAAAAAGAAAAACCACAAGTTATAGAACCAAGGGCCAAAATAGAGTGAGAGATCTATTTCTTCTTTTTTTTTTTTTTTTTTTGTTACTGGAGAGTGAACTCAGAGCCTCATACATGGTAAAACACTCTACTTAAGCTAGGCAACCTTTTTTTTGAGACAGGGTCTTGCTAGTTTTGCTCAGAGTGGCCTCAAATGAGATCTTCCTACCTGGGCCTCCCAAGTAGCTGCAATTACAGACATGCACCAGCACCACACCTGGCCTAAGGAATCTATTTCAATGAAGGGTCACTAGTAAGCAGGTCTTAAACAGCAACAATGGATCCTACCTGGCTCTCCACCCTGGCCCTTGCCCATGGCCAGAAACATCCCATTCCCCCATGGTCACTGGAGGCTTCTGAGTGTCTACCCGCCTCTCTGAGACATCTTGATGGACTGGGGATCGAATCAGGGGAATGTCTGAGACCCAGGTCGGTGCCATTCGTGGCACAGTTGGAAGGGGACGAGCTTGGAAGTGGGAGGGGGGAATCAGCCCAGCAAAACCTGAGGAATCACAAGAGCAACAATTGTCAGTTTCCCAGGTAGAGGCAATCACAGGTCCCCTTGCCCAGCCCTACTGACCTGAAGGTGGCAACATGTCCACGTTATCTGAAGACTCTAGATTCTGTTTCCAGTCATCTATGCTCCCCTGGACAATAGGAGAAACAAGGATACTCCAATTCAATTTTCAGGCCATCTTCCAAAGAGAAAGCCCCTACAATAACAAAGTCATAATCCTTAAATTACAGACAGGTCCACCCAACTCTCAGCTTTTTCCTATTTCCCAAAAGAGATAGTAGACCACTTGCCAGTCCCAACCTGGCCCCTGGTAGAACTGGGCAAGAACCATGATTTGGAGAGAATGTACTGAGAGGCAGAGGGGGAGCTTTTGGGTTTTCTCCTACTTCTATGATCTGGGCAGTGCCTTTACCCTCCTCAAGTTTCTACAGTGCCTGCTGCTCCTGGTTGGAGGTGAGAAAGGAGGTACAGAGTGCAGGGGCCCTGAGCCCAATCTCCAGAGTTCTCTCCATGGCTCAGCAGGGCCCTGGGGAAGCCCATCCAGGCATCTCCAAGCCATGATTCCTGGATCCTTCCCTATTAAAGCACTGACCCAAGGCCTGACCCCAGAAGAATGTAGCCACATGTAGGGGTGGATGCCTCCCTAGGACTCCTGGGAATCCAAGCAGCCTAGAGCCCATGGCAGAGAAGCCAGCTTTCTGGCATCACATGCAAGCCTCTCTGCAACTTTCCTTTCAGTTTCTCTACTATCTCCTCAACTTCCATTCCCGTTGCCCTTCTCCCTCTACAGTCCTACAGCAGAGTGGGCTCTTTAAGACCTTCCCCCCCACCACCCAAATTCACCTATTTTCTTTTTTTACAGGAATTTGGAATTCCTATTCCTGTCCCTCCCTATATCTTAGTCTGCTTTTTTCCTGAAGGAATTATTCTGGTCCCTCATTCTCACCCTCATCTCTCAGCTGATAGCGTGCTCAGTTTTCCCCTCTTCCCGCCCCCAGATTCACCCTGCTAGACTCTGAGCTCTAAGGCTGTTTTTTTTGACCACCTCGTCTGTTCCTTTACCAGGCCCTTGCACCCCTCTTCCCCTATGGACCCCCCGAACCCACCCCAGCACCCCCTCTCAGCCCCTTCCCGCCCGCAACCGACTCTCCCAGAACGTCCCTCACCCAGCGCGAGAGCCCCCTCAGCCCTTTAGCCCCACCCCCTACACCTCCCTCCGGGCCCGACATCCACCCCCGAACGCGCATGCGCCAGGCGGGTGGGCTGGCGGGCTCCTGTAAAGTCTTATTTTTGCCCCGGAAGGAAGAATGAGAAAAGTTTACGCAGGCGCAGAGACATCTAAGGCTGCGCCCAATTAACGAGTCAGGGCATCTCCGCGCCCTGACGGCTCCTCCCCACTCCGGGAACCCGGGAAAATTTGTGAACTAATCAGAAAAGGTGGAAGGCGGGATATCGGGGGGACAAACCCGGCACACCGCCCAATAGAGTGGAGGAGAGCAAATGAGATGGCCAATCAGAAACAGCACGGGGGCGGGCTAACTTGGCGCGAAGTCGGACCCGGGAATTCCGAAGGAGGAGTCCGCTCTGCCCGCGCGCCGAGACCGCGCCCCTCCGGGTCCCGGCTTTCAGACTGTCAAACTGCAGCGGGAGCGAAGGTCCCAGCCGAGGAACTTGAAGGGCACTGCCTGGAGCGGAGACTACTCCGAGACTGCACCGCGCGGGTACATTTGAAATTGGGATGGACTGGGAGAGAAAAGGTCTAGTTTTGCCTAGCGGGATCGCTAGGAGCGCCTTTTTCTGTCTATGCCATCCAGAGAAGCCAGGAAGCAAGGGGTTAGATCCGCTTTGTTAGAGCATTTAGGGACCCGTTTGCATGCACAGCTCTTTAGGGTGACAGTGAATCCACTTCCCTTAGGGGTTCAAACTCGTTATGAGGAATTGGCCAGAAGAGCGGGCGCTGGCAAAAAGAGGAGGTGTTATTTGGATAAACTAGTTTGGCAGCAAGCTTCTCTTCACCAAATTAGAATTGATAAGTTCGTATTGCATGTATGTTTGTACAAAAGAACACACACACACACCCCTCCAGTCCGCATTTCCCCCAGAAGCCGCCTAATGTATCTTTACCTTGCACAGATTGAAGGCTTCCCGGATGTTTGGCGGCCTGAGGATCCAGCTCAACTGAGGTGCCACCGGAGGTGTTCCTGTTTTTGCATCAGGACCTTCCCGGAAATTTTTAGCTGCAAATTTGTTAACAGCTAATTTTTGCATTGTGTACCTAGGCTGCTTGCGTCAGATTTTGCACTACTCTGGCTGTGAAATTATACACGGCACAGCTCGTTTGCAAGACTGAGAAGCTGGACTTAAGCCAAAGGTGCATGGTCCGGTAGTGGGAAAGGTGATGGATTCTTAAGTGGAAGAGGTGGTGTGAGGGGCACCGCCCATGCTGCCCTGCTTCCAGCTGCTGCGCATAGGAGGCGGCAGGGGCGGTGATCTCTACACCTTCCACCCTCCAACCGGGACTGGCTGCACCTATCGGTTGGGCTGCAGGGCCGACCTGTGCGATGTGGCCCTGCGGCCCCAGCAGGAGCCTGGCCTCATCTCTGGGATCCATGCAGAGCTGCATGCTGAGCGGAGAGGTGATGACTGGAGGGTCAGCCTGGAGGACCATAGCAGCCAAGGTAAGCAGTAAGCAGGGCAGCCTTGCCCCCGGGCAGTTCCAAGTTGGAATGAGTGAAGGGATCCAACTATCAGGTCGGACAGTCATGACCCAGGCTGTCTGCCCATCAAAAGTGTGCCCTGTCAGCTCTCTATAGGACTAGGAAGTAGAAGTAGGGTCTGGGACATCATCAGCCAGTGTCACAGTGGGATGTTTTGGGGCCAAGCTCAGACTTGGCTCCATTTCCAGTATTGTTGAGGCACCTTGTTCCTGTGTTAGGACAGTTACAATTAATGTTTTAGTGACCTGGGCGTGGTCTTTCTTCCCAACTCAAGGCTGCCTTCACAGTTGAGTTCTGCCTCTGATCCTTGGACCAACAGGCCCATCACTTCACCTCTCCAGATCTTGGTTTCCTCTTAAGTAAAACAGGCTTGGTGAATTCTGTTCTGTGGTGCTGTGGGCATCAGACAATAGTAGCCATTACTGTTTGTTATGAGCTAGGCATTGTTTTAAGTATATTGAATATAGATGGCACTAATAGAATACCTTTTATTCACAAAAAAGAAAAAAAAAGGCACAGAGGTTAAGAAATTAGCCATAGAGCCTGGCATGGTGGTACACATCTATAATCCTAGCACTTGAGAGGCTGAGGCTGGAGGATCATGAATTCAAGGCCAGCCTGAGCTACATGTTTTTGTCTCAAACAAACAAAAGACAGCTTGTAAGTAGTAGAGTCAGGATCTGAATTAATCCGAGCTACGCTGCCTATTGAATTGGAGCTGGCCCTAGGCACAATGATGGAGAAGCCCATCATGGGAGAACACAAGAAAAGCAAACTTGGTCCCTGCTCAGAAGGAGCACATATGTGGTGTCACCTGCTGAGGGTCTTAAAAAGTCAGAAAGAATTTGATGTTTTTCCCCGTGTCCCCTGAAAATCAACCAGGGCCAGAGTTTTCTACTCCTGACTGGTCATTTTTGTTCTTGTCATTGTTTCGTACCCCACCATCAACAGGGACTTTGGTCAATAATGTCCGACTCCCAAGGGGCCACAGGCTGGAGTTGAGTGATGGTGACCTCCTGACCTTTGGCCCTGAAGGACCCCCAGGAACCAGCTCCTCGGAGTTCTACTTCATGTTCCAGCAAGTCCGGGTCAAACCTCAGGACTTTGCTGCCATTACCATCCCTCGGTCTAGGGGAGAAGTTGGGGCTGGGGCTGGTTTCCGGCCCATGCTGCCCTCCCAGGGGGCCCCACAGAGGCCCCTCAGCACCCTGTCCCCAGCCCCAAAGGCCACACTGATCCTCAACTCCATTGGCAGCCTCAGCAAGTTCAGGCCCCAGCCCCTTACCTTCTCCCGGAGTGGGGGTGGGCCACAGAGCCTGCCTGTTTCCACTCCACCCGAGGAAGTGAGAACCCCACCTGCTCCACCCCCACGAAATCGGAGGAAATCAGCTCACAGAGTGTTGGCAGAACTGGATGATGAGAGTGTAGCTCCCGAGAGCCCCCCACCAGTACTTATGGGGCCTAGGAAGAAACTCCGGGTGGAAAAAGCCCCACTGACACCCAGTGGGTAAGTAGAGTCATCACTGTCTTGTCAGCCTTTCACTGCCTTTTGACTCTTTGAGTCTTAAACTGAGTTCTCTCAAGTTGGAAAAATGAGAACAGATGTAGAATATATTGGAATGGCAAGATCCGAGTTAGCTCTGACAAATACATACAAGTTAGGGTAGGTTAGGGTTTTTTTAAACAAAAAACCAGAAAACTCCTGGGTGCTAGGGATTTAGTTCACTGTGAGAGTACTGGCTGCCTCAAATTTTTGCCAGTACTGAGGGCATATGTTTTTGTTTTGATTTGGGTTTGTTTTTTTTTCTGAGATGGTCTCACCATGTAGTCCAAGCTGGCCTCAAACTTTCAGTCTGCCTATTTCAGCCTTCTAAATTCTGGGATTACAGGTGTGCTGAACTCAGGTTATCTAGGATATTAGACATCTGCTCTACTATTAAACTATACCCCCAGCCTAAGTTCCTACTTTTTACAGAGGATTTTCATCCCATTCTTCTATTGCTTAATGATGGAGAATTAATTTCTAGGCTCACACTATCTACTGAGTCTTAAATTCCTCACCCTGTGATAATCCATGGGCAAGGTCTAGGCTTCTACAGGTTTTTCAGTGACTCTGGTATTTGTCATTTCCTTCAGAAATCAACATGGAAACACCCATGTCTCTCCCTGCATTTGGGGGTGGAGAGCGCTGTGCAGCACCTTGTTGCAGCCTTCCTCAAGAAGAGACAGTGGCCAGGGTTCAGTGTGACAGTTAATACCTGGTACCATATGGCCTGTGTTGGCTATAGCATCCAGGCTGCCAGGGAGGCTGACTTCCAATGTCCAGGGTGCTGTGTTGGCATCCAGACCTAAGGCCCATCACCAGATCACCAGAGGACACAGAACTGGCACCTCTAGTCCAGTATTAGACACAGTCAGATAAAAATGGTTCATAAGAATTGCTCTTTTCTTCCCTTCCCTCTGCAGGAGAGAATGACTACAGGGAAAGTTCCGTGCTGTGGACATGGATTCAGGGCCTGGAGCCCTGACAGAAGAAAACTTCCTGCCAAAGACACGGGCCTTCAGCAAGTTACAGTGAGCTGAAATTTTCTGCTGTTATAAGTTGTAAAACCTTCTTGTCATGGACACCGAGAGTATCTGCGCTTAGAGCACCCATCAGTTGCAGAAGCCATACCTGTGAAGATGTAAGGAATTTTTCTGTTTCTTTTTTCCTTTTGTTGGGGATCAAACCCAGAACCTTGATCATGCTAGGCATGCTCCACCACTGAACTACATCGTCAGCTCCCTTAATGTTCTTGAATGGTATCATCTAAGGCACAGCCCCCAAACTATTTTACACTGGCCAGTTCTGTTGCTGACCATGATCTCGGTGACCTAGCTTTTCAAGTTTTACTTTTATTTACAAATAAACAAGCAGCTTCATCTACCTCTGAGTATTTAATCTTATAGGCCTGATTCTTGTGGTTCTGATACTCTCAAGAGCAGGTGAAGATGAATAAAGAAAGTATGAACCTCCTCGTTCCAAAAGTGTTAATATATGGGATGAGGTGTGAAAAAAAAAAAACCCAAGAAATTAAGATCTCTAGTTAAAGGGAAAACAAATCCACTACCACTAAAATAAGGTAGTTGGGATCTGGTAAGGTTTATGAGAACAATGGAACTTTTACAGGCTATACTAGCTAATTTTTTTTATTACTTATTTTGGTGGGACTGGGATTTGAACTCAGAGTTTTGAGCTTCCAAAGCAGGCACTCTATAGCTTGAGCCATACCACCAGTCCTATAGGCCATACTAATACCATCAGGAAAAGAGAAAAAAGCTAGTAAAGCAGCTACAGCACTGACCTGGCCTGGTGTGGATTAACCTCCTAACCTATGTAATACAGAATACGTGTCAGTTTTCTTCCGTGAACCTCTACCAAGCCAAGATATTGGCAACGCATCATATCCTTTCTACAGTTTTCACTAGGAAAGCCTTACTTGGACCTATTCTACTGCAACCCACAACCCCCTCCTTCCTAGACTTACCAATCCATGTTTCCCATATTAAGGAAACCTCACAGCAAGGGCCCCTAACTAGCTAGTGACAGAATCAAGAATAAGATTAGGGTATTTGGTGAATCACTTTAGTACAAGATGTACAAAAATCTAAGTGGAAATCAAATGGATAAGAAAACAGAAGGTGCTCAGCAGTGGTGGCTCTCACTGAGATTGGGAGGATCACAGTTTGAGTCCAAGCCCAGGCAAATAAATAGTTCAAAGACCCTTTCTCCAAAATAACCATAGCAAAATGGACTAGAGGTGTGGCTCAAAAGGTAGAGCGCATGCTTTGCAAAAGTAAAGCCCTGAGTTGAAACCCCAGTCCCACCAAAAAAACAGGATGTAGAGTTTCTGGTTGGGGTGACATGCAGCAGAAACAATTATTTGAAGCCTTGATTTCTTTCTTCTTTTTTTTTTTTTTTTTGTGGACTGGGGTGTAAACTCAGGCCTACACCTTGAGCCACTCCACCAGCCCTTTTTTGTGATGGTATTTTTTTTGAGATAGGTTCTCTTGAACTCTTTGCACAGACTGGCTGCAAACTGTGATCTTCCTGACCAGCGCCCAGCTGAAGCCTTGATTTCTTAACAAAGCCACTGAGGGGACTGGAGGTGTGGCTCAAGCTGTAGAGAACCATCCTTACAAGCGTGAAGCCCTGAGTTCAAACCCAGTAATGGCAATAAATAAATAAATAAAAATAAAGTCACTGAGGACTTCCAGAGTAGTGTGGAAAAAACAGAAAGCTGATGAGGAATAGGCTCCTCAGGGACTGCATCTATGGGCAGAGGTATGGCATTCAAGCTAAATCCTCCAGGACCCCAATAACTAGCTTAGGCCTGTCAGGGACCTCTGCAAACAAATGGGGTCCAATCTGAACTCTCTCCCAAGTATTTTGTGACCTCAAGAAGTTTAAATGGCACCTCAGTTTCCCTGAAATAACTTGGGTATGAGAATAGACAGTATTGATTTTTGGGTTTCTCCATTCTCACTTCCTCATCAATAACTAAAGGAGGACAAACCAAAGACAAAATTGTGTTATCTGTTGTGTCCCAGGCTTCTTTATTTAAGAACAAAGTGATGAGTAATGTGGGGATTAAAATCAAGAGCATCATTGAACTTCACCTTCCTTCCAACCACTCCCCAAGTTCCCTGCTTCCAATTCCTTCCTTAGTGAGTCAAGAACTTAATCCCCAAAGCCCTGGTACAGACTCCAGGTTCTCTTTCCCTAGCTTCTCTCCTTTCCTCTGCCTCCTATCCCTGGGAAGGGCAGGCATTTCAGTTTGAATGCATGGGAGAGCCCAGAGTGGTGACAGACACAGGGGGATAGGCTTCCCCCTCAGGGAAAGGGACTGAGGAATAGAGGGTGGTGAAGTGAGGGCTCCCATAGCCTGGGGTACCAAAATGGGGCCCTGGAGCCAGAGGGAAGGACACAGGTGCCCCTGAGAAGGGAGACCCTGCAGCCTCAAAATCCTCTCGTTGGGAATAGTCACTGCTTGATCGTTTGCCCTTCTGGCGCCGATTACAGAACCACACTCGGACCACCTGGGAGTGGACAACACAGAGGAAAGTGACATTGGACCATAAGCTCAGGGAAGTGAGTCTGGCTCTGCTTGAGTATTTCACCCCAAACCAACAGCCCTGGAGTGGTGAGAGGACAGGAGCCAGAGCTGGGGAAAGGGAAGTGGCAACTGGGAGGGGGATTATGGAACAACATGGGGATGGGGGCCGGGGCACTTACATCCTTCTCCAGCCCAAGCTGCTGGGCAATGAGGCTGATCTGCTGCAGTGTGGGTTTTGGGCACTGCAGAAACATGCTCTCCAAGTTGCCTCTCACGCGGTTCTCGATGCTTGTTCGCTTTCTCTTTCGGGCCTGCACAAGGGTCTCCGCTTTGCATATCTGAGCAGGTGGGGAGGAATTGACAAGGGTAGGCATTGGACTTGCTGGCTGACAGCACCACGTTGAGGGACCAGTGGCTTGAGAGCAAATTGCTAAGGGAGCACTAACTGGATGTGTCCTGAGAACTAGGAGAATTGAGAAAGGAGGATCCTGGAAGCAGAGGTTTTGACCTGAGGCTTCTCCAGGCAGAATCAAGGGATCACTTTACCCTTCCTCCATCCCACTGAGAATTGCTGCCACGGGGTGGCCTAGTGGGAAAGCATGTGCTTGCTTAGCAAGTGCAAGGCCCTGGGTACCAATCCCCAACCCCAAACCCTACCCCTGAAACACAGACAACTGCTGCCCCCAGGTGGAGAGGGAGAGTTTCAAGTCAGGGAAGGAGGCAATGGAAATGGCTGTGATGAGGCAGGTCAGGTCCCATGCACCCCTTGCACCCTTACCTCCTGAAGGTTCTCATTGTTATCAGCTTCCTCCACCCATTTCTGCAACAGGGGACGCAGCTTACACATGTTCTTGAAACTGAGCTGCAGAGCCTCAAAACGGCAGATGGTTGTTTGGCTGAACACCTTTCCTGGAGGCCAGTTGAAAAGAGGCAACATGAGGCAGGACCCAGGCCCCTATTACCTCAAGCCCCAGCCTTGCTGCCTTTTCTAGCCTCACAACTCCCACAGAGGCCACTCAAATCCCAAGTGTCATCTCCCTTTCCCCATGAATCCCTGAAGCCCCTCCCCTCACTCCCTTGATGGGGAGGAAAGTTCGTGAGTTCAGGAATGTTCCTTCCAGGGGAGATATGGTCACTGTGGGGTCAGAACATACTGAGGAAGACCCACCAAAAAGAACCCCCAGAGTGAGCCCCACATCGGCCTGGTATATCCAGGGTAATCCTTCTTCTGCTTCAGCAGCTTGGCAAATTGTTCGAGTTCTTTCTGCAGAGATTTCATGTCCTGGGACTGCATTAAAAAAGGCAGAGAACTTGTAAGAACACAGACACACCAATCATCAGCTTCCTATTCAGGGTTCAAGAATCTGACTGTGGTCCCAAGGATAGTCTGTGGGGGTATCTCAGCCCCCCAGGCAGCCTGTTTGAAACATGTACAAATGTCACACATTCACAACCCCTCCTGTGACAAGAAACTGTGTCCCCAAGAATTGGGCACATCCACTAGAAAGAGCACCAGCTGGCCTCCATGAGCTTATGCAGTGAATCCTGCTGCCAACTCAATATTCATAACAGGCTCTTTGACTCACAAGTTAATTACACCTAGTTTGAAGTTTTGAAACTACAAAGCTAAAGTGCATTGTGTCTTTTGATTTTAAATTCAAGATACTCTTCCCAGCTTGAGGGTCCCAAACTGGCATGCATACACACAAATAAGCATTCTGTAAAAATTAGAATAACTGGTGTTATAGGAGGTATGAAGTGTTTTCTATACACATGGTATTCACTATTTTTTAAAAATCTAATTATCCTTTATTTTTATTATGTCTTTTTGCAATATTGAGGCATTTTCATTGATTAACTTAACGGATGTATTAAACTCCCATTTTATTTTTATTTTTGAGACAGGGTCTCACATATGTAGTCCAGGCTGGCCTCCAACTCTGGATACTCCTGCCTCAGCTTCCTCAGTGCTGGAATTACAGATGTACACATCATGCTCAGCTCTTATTAAACACCTTCTATAACCAGAAGCCACACAAAATAGACAAAGTCCTGACCTCATGGAGCTTACCTTCCAATGTGGGGAGATAAGTAACTGCTAACCTACTATCCCGCAGGAGAGAAGTGCTATTGGAAAAAAGTCAAGCTGAGCACAAGAGTATAGTAGAGCAGGGTAGGAGATCATGGAGGTTAACGCTTTTAAATTAGAACTGAAAAGTGATATTTAATAAGGTCAGAGGGGCTGGGTAGGTCCTCGGATGCTGGGGACAGTGACTTCCGTTCATGGTTCACTAGTGACATCTTACTCATATCTTAAAACATTGGCAACCGACTATGAGAAGGCAAGAATATAATTTAGGAAGACTACTACCTTAATCCCAGCACAGATGTTAGTGGCTGCGGGAGGGGAGTGAGGGAGAGTAGGACATGACTGATGCACAGTGACTTTAGAAGGTAAAGATAGCACTGCTTCCCATGGAGGTAAGATGCGAAAGGAATAAAAGTGGCTGGTTCTGATTGTGCAATGTGATGTGGTGGGGCAGTTTAGGTCATCCCAGCAGAAGACAGAAAATTCTGTAATCATCTGATGTCTAAATGGCATGTGAGCCTTGAAGGTGGATGAGAGGAAGAAGGGTAGATAAAGTAGAAGTTAAAGGGCGAGGCCCCAGGGAACTCCAGTGAGGGCAGGCCAGCCCAGAAGACAGATG